CCCCCCCCCCCCCCCGCGAGAACAAACGTCACTGCCTCCTTCTTTAGAAAACGCCTTAGGGCCCTGTTCATCTGGAGCACTTTTTTGGTTTGTTTTAGCAGCTTTTAAGTTGTCCTCAGGGAGGGCTAGGAGACAGCCACCGCAGTGATGACAGAATTGGAAAACGGGGGTGAGGCGGGAAGGGCCGAGGATTTCAGGTAAGGAGCCCCTTGGCAGGGCTGCCCTGAGGGATTGTGCAAAATGTTCACTGCACAAGGGGCAAGGGGGGGCTGGGATCCAGGCGGAGGGGCTCAAGCCTGATGCTCTCACACCAAGACGAGGAGGGATTCTTTCTTAGCCGGAAGAGCAGTCTGTGCACTGACTTTTTTTTTTTTTTTAATATTTATTTTGAGCGAGGCAGAGACAGTATGAGCGGGGGAAGGGCAGAGAGAGAGGGAGACACAGAATCCGAAGCAGGCTCTGAGCTCTGAGCTGTCAGCATAGGGCCCGATGTGGGGCTCGAACTCACAAACCCTGAGACCATGACCTGAGCTGAAGTCAGCCGCTTAACCAACTGAGCCACCCAGGTGCCCCTGTGCACCGACTTTTGCACTCTGGGGCAGCGGCTGCGCAGAAGGAGTCCCTTGTAACAATTCCACTTTATTGCCGTGAAGTTACTTGTCCAAGGTCACACAGCCAGGGAGTGGCAGTGCCGGATCCAAAGGCAGGCAGTGTGGCCCCAGAGGCCCTGACTTTACCCACCACCCTCCACTGTCTGCACCACCTTAGAGGACGTCAAGAGTCAGCAGGGTAGGGGTGGGGTGTGTGGGGATCAAGCTCCTTTCCCCCAAGCAGAATGGAGGCACCCTCCTATTTTCTTGGGAGGGGTTGCAGGCACTTGTCTTCAAGATCAAGCCCTCCGTGACCTACAGGAAAAGACATTTCCCAACGTGAATATTGTGGGTAATAAGGCTCTTACCGATCTGCCACCTTGGGCGACAGCGAGAAATATCACCCCCTTCACAAGGTCGTGGTGTTTTATACGTTCTTCACTCAGGATCGCAGGCTCTCAGCAAGTTCGTGAAGCGCCAGGGCCCGGGATTGAGTCTGTGTCTAAGATTCCTGTAGGGTCATTCCCGTGGGAGGGGGTGCCTTGCCCTGATATGGGGGATACTGAGGTCTTAAACATATATTTTTTAAATTATTTTAATGTTTGTTTATTTTTGAGAGAGAGACAGAGTGCAAGTAGGGGAGGGGCAGAGAGAGAGGGAGACACAGAATTCGAAGCAGCCTCCAGGCTCTGAGCTGTCAGCACAGAGCCCGACATGGGGCTTGAACTCCCAGACCGTGAGATCATGACCTGAGCTGAAGTCAGACGCCTAACTGACTGAGCCACCCAGACGCCCCGGTCTTAAACATGTTTTACTGAGTCCCTCCGACGTGCTGGGACGCTGGGTTTGAAGGAATGGCTCCTGACCCCAGGAAGCGTGGTCAGCAAGGGCCTGGGGAGCAATTAAACGTGAACTTCTAAAGCTCCGTCAGCTCACCCCAGGGCTCTGAGCCCACTTTAAATAAAAGCTGCATTGCCCTTGCCCTATGGCCTCTACTCGTTTCCCCCCCTGGAGGGGACAAGGACTGATTTCTGTGAGCACCTACTGTGTGCCGGGCACTCTGTGAACGAAGGCACCTCGCTGCCAAGACTTCGAGGCAGACCACTGGCTCCGCTCACGGACGGCAAAAGCCGGCCTGGCTCACCTCGCAGCCGGGGCTGCAGGGCTGGCTGGGCCCCAGCTCTTCCCACTGCCACGCCCTGCCTTCCTGAGCATTATGGGGTGAGGAGGGGGGTGGACATGTGCACAAGACGTCTTCTTCCTCATGCCCCTCTCTTCCCCCAACGGCCACTCGAAAATGCAGCCCCCGACACATGCTCTCATCCCCCCCCCCCCCCCCGCTGGGCACGTGTAGGGACCTGGGGCTTCTGCAAAATCTCCCACGTAAGGCGGTGGGGGGGGGGGGTGGCGATGAGCACGGGCTGCTGGCAGTTCCGTCCCTTTCCCATTGATGGAGATTAATGGTACTGGAATACCAGTGTGACAAGTCAGCTGTCCCCGCCTTCCCCAGACCCCACCCCTGAACAGACACACACACACATGCACACACACGCGCACGCGCGCGCGCGCACACACACACACTCTCCGGGGCTGATAGCTATTTCCTCCCTCAGCCTCACTGCCCTGCCTCCGCCGGCCCGGTGCCCCATCCGGCTGCCACCGGACGCTGTCTCTGGGGGTGGAATCCTGTGCTCCTGCTGTGCCCAGGTAAGGAAGCAGCAAGAGCCCGGGGGCTGGGCAGCCTTCGTGCCCTCTCTGGATCCACGGAGGCACAGTTTTCACAGGGGAGAGGCTCTTAACAGCCAGGATGGTAGAGGTCGGGTTTCCCAAAGAGTGGATGGGACACGCTGCTCAGAGAGGGGAAGGGCACGTTTTCATGGGCATGCACCAGACGCCGGGCACCGGGGTAAACCACGAGAGCCTCTCTTCCCAGACTCACATGCAGTCTCTGGGTGGGCGGACAGGAGCGGTCTGAGGGTCACTGACTTGAAAACTTGCATTCTCTGCCCCTCACCTCCGCCAACGGGGGACCCTGGCTGCTGGGCTCCATGTCCCGGGAGGCTGGGGGCCGACTCCATGCAGCCAGAAAGACTGATCCCGATGGGTCCCCAGGGTGTGTGTAGCAGCGCTGTGCTCCCTGAGCACCCCATGGGACCTGGGAAGAGGCTGCTGCGCTGAAGGGAAGGTTCCAGAGCATTGAGGGGATGGCATTCATCTGTCTGCAGGGTGGAGTCCCAGCTGTACCACTGCAGCTGAGCGATGGTGGGCTAGTTGCTATGCTTCTCTGAACCTCAGTTTTCTCTTCTGAAAAATAGGGTCTCAGAGGATCACCGTGAGTGTAATTGTTCTGGAAACTCTAAAGCTTAGGCAGCATAAGCATTCCCGGAGAGCACAGCCCCCACTGCTCACCCCCCTCCCCATCTGCCTGCGAGCCCCAGCTCCCAGGACTCATCTGCCTGGAAAGGTCTAGTTTGATTTCTTGGGGCCTTGCCTTCCAAAGGCCTGTGGTACCTGGAGAAGACTGGGGGTTCTCATCCCGGCCGACAGTGTTACCCCTGGAAATGCGAGTACTGAAGACCACCCCCCACTTCCTTCTCTTCCTCCTCTGCCAAGTCTCGCTTACAGCAGAGGTAGAGGAAAGAGAACAAGTTGGCTGAGCGCTAAACTGTTGCTTCTCCACTTGTCTGTGTTATTTGGGTGTCTTGAGCCTCAGCTTCCTCGCCTGTAAAATGGGATGGAGTGAAGTTCTAGCGCCTTTTGTCTAGAGTCCTGAGCAAGAAAGCACTTATGTAAAGGACCTACTGGGGTCTCTGGCACATAGTGGGGCCTCAGGATGATCTGAATTCCCAGTCCCTGCCAGCCATCCCTGGCCTCCTGCCGGCAGCCTCCCCCGCCACCCCGCCCTCCTGGATCTCAACCAGCTTCACATCAGGAAATGGGGGGGTTTTGATGAAGCTGTGGGGGTGTACGTCCGGGGAGTCTGTACACGTGCCAGAGGCTGGCTTCCCCAGCACTTACCTGAGTAGTTTCTCAATCACTACCTGCGGAATGAATGCGCCAGCGAGTGGGTAAATGAATGCGCTGGGTCTCCCCGGGGCAGGCTGGGCGGCTGGGCGCCCTCGGGCGTGTGACCGTCTCAGCCCCATTGGGCCACCAGAGCCCCGGTCTGGTAGTTCCTCATGCCCTAGCTCTCTCCCTACTCTTATCTTATTTCCTCCCCAACTATCAGAGGAGGGGCTGGCTGCACCGTACAAAGTCAACACACCAGACATGCCACTATTGTGGGAGCCAAGGGCTGCACCGACAAGCTGCAGAGAGGCAAGATCTGGGGGTGCTGTGGACGGGGGGGGGGTGCATCCCTTAAAGGCACAGGCTCTCCCTTCCACTCCCATTCCCCCTCCTATCCTTCAGGTGGGGCCTCCTGCGTGCCCCAGTGCCCTAGGGGATTGGAGTCCTGTGTGGCCTGGCCTCGTTTCTATTTCTCCGGTTAGCCCTCGGGGACCTGTTAATAACAGCCACAGCACTGACATGGTGCTTCCGGTGTGCTGGGCTCTGCTCTAAATGCTTATGTATATTAGCTTGCTGAGCACTCCCAACAGCCCTATGAGCTAGGTCTTGTTATGACAGGTGGCCATGTCACAGAGGAGAAAGCAGGCCCGGGAAGGTTAAGGGGCTCGCCCAAGGTCGCACAGTGAGCGGGCGTTCCCCTGGGATGTTCTTCTCCCAGCCTGGCTGCTTGGCTCAATGTCACCAATCCCAATGTCACCAATCCCTGCTGGCCTCACTTATACCATTCAGGGGTCAGATGCCAATCGCCTGGGGAGGGTCCCCTCGCTGCCCCCCCCCCCCAACGCCCTCAACCGCTCAGGCAGAGGAGGGGCCGTCTGNCGCTGCCCCCCCCCCCCCCCCCCCGCCCCGTGCCTCAGTGAAAGAGACATGGGGGGCGGGCTGGTGGTGAAAGAGAAGTGGAGGGGCTCTCCCCACCCAATGTCATCAATCCCCTGCTGCCCTCACTAAAACAATTCAGGGGTCAGTTGCCATCGGCTTGGGGGGGTCCCCCTCGCGCCCCCCCCCCCAACGCCCTCACACTGCCTACCTCAGCACCCCCTCCTCTCCACCACAGAGCACACCATGTCTGCCAACGGCACGCTCAAGCCGCTCTGCCCGGTCCTGGAGCAGATGAGCCGCATCCAAAGCCACAGCAACTCCAGCATCCGCTACATGGACCACGCGTCGGTGCTGCTGCACGGGCTGGCGTCGCTGCTGGGCCTGGCGGAGAACGGGCTCATCCTCTTCGTGGTGGGCTGCCGCATGCGCCAGACGGTGGTCACCACGTGGGTGCTGCACCTGGCGCTGTCCGACCTGCTGGCCACCGCCTCCCTGCCCTTCTTCACTTATTTCCTGGCCGTGGGCCACTCGTGGGAGCTGGGCACCACCTTCTGCAAACTGCACTCCTCCATCTTCTTCCTCAACATGTTCGCCAGCGGCTTCCTGCTCAGCGCCATCAGCCTGGACCGCTGCCTGCAGGTGGTGCGGCCCGTGTGGGCGCAGAACCACCGCACGGTGGCCGCGGCCCACAGGCTCTGCCTGGCGCTCTGGGCCCTGGCCGTGCTCAACACCGTGCCCTACTTCGTGTTCCGGGACACCATCCCGCGGCTGGACGGCCGCATCATGTGCTACTACAACGTGCTGCTCCTGAACCCGGGGCCCGATCGCGACGCCACGTGCAACTCGCGCCAGGCGGCCCTGGCCGTCAGCAAGTTCCTGCTGGCCTTCGTGGTGCCGCTGGCCATCATCGCCTCGAGCCACGCGGTCGTGAGCGTGCAGCTGCGCCACCGCGGCCGCCGGCGGCCCAGCCGCTTCGTGCGCCTGGTGGCGGCCGTGGTGGCGGCCTTCGCGCTCTGCTGGGGGCCCTACCACGTGTTCAGCCTGCTGGAGGCGCGCGCGCACGCCGACGCGACGCTGCGGCCGCTCGTGTGGCGCGGCCTGCCCTTCGTCACCAGCCTGGCCTTCATCAACAGCGTGGTCAACCCGCTGCTCTACGTGCTCACCTGCCCCGACGTGCTGCGCAAGCTGCGGCGCTCGCTGCGGAGCGTGCTGGAGAGCGTGCTGCTGGACGACAGCGAGCTGGGCGGCCTGGGCAGCAGCCGCCGCCGCCGCGCCTCCGGCCCCCGCCCCGCCCCCGGCCCCGCCCCCGGCCCCGCCCCCGGCCGCCGGCCCGCCGGGCCCGCGCGCCTGCTCGCCTGGCTGCGGGGCGGCGCCGTGGCGTCCCCGCAGAGGTCGCGCGCCCGGTCCCAGGACGAGAGAGGCCCCCTGAACCGGGCGCTGAGCACCACCTCGGGGTAGAGCGCGGCCGGCCCGAGGCCTCCCTCCCTCCCCCCCGCACCCAGGGAGGCAGAGGAGGGCGGCGAAGCCGAGCTAGGGCTTCCGGAGGGGGACGCCTGGCAGCAGCGACCCAGGGATCTGCATTGCGGAGCGCCCCGCCTCCTCGGCTCTTTGAGTCTTCAGCAGGCGGGCGGGACGCCGAGGTTCAGCATTTCCAGCAAGCTCCCAGGAGGCGGGGTCAGCGCTGCTGGTCGGCGGACTCCGTTTGGGGCGACACACGGTGAAAACCACAAGATTTCTCCCACTGGGTTGTGGACTCCCACGGCACGCAGGACGCACTCGCCCTGAAGCTCAGCTCTACCAGATGGTGGGAGGGGGAAGGGTGGGTGGGGAGTGTTCTTACACGAAACCAGTGATGGGTTTTGGGATAGGAAGCAGAGGAGGGTTTGGGAAGCCCTGACCCCTTCTAACCTCTTAGTCACTCAGCCACCGTCTACTGAGCTAGATGCTGTGTCCCACAGTCTTGAGGGTGGGTTCCATGATCAGACCGAGGCACAAAGAGATTAATCCACTTGCCCAAAGTACAGGGTCTGCATGCTATTAAATATTACACGTTCAATTACCATGAAGTAAAGAACACCCCCCAGCATACCCAGGGCACTGAATGTAGTGACTGCAAGGAGCACCATGTCTACCCTCTGGCCCAGCTCTGTCCTCGGTAGAAAGGCAAGGTCTTTTTATAAGGCTTTACTCATAAAGTAGCAAAAGCAAGGGCTGTCATGGTCGCGCTGGGCTCATCCAAATGCAACGGGCATCCTTGCTGAGGGTCTTCTTGGTGTTTAGTGTTTGCACATGTACAGCAGCCCCGGAGACCCCAGCACGGGACATTTCCTTGCGAATCTGACACCTATACTGGCCTGGTATTCCATGGGATGCCCAGTGGGCAACACTGGCAATCCCCAAATCTTTGCAACACGCCTCCTGACCAGCAGCGGCTGGGCAGCCGGCCCTTCCAATCTGCAGGCGTGAAGGGCAACTCAGTCTCCCTTGTAGCACATCCACCGAGCCACGTGCTCCCCCTAGCCACCGCGGCCTGGAGGACAAAGATGGCTGCGTTTAGGTCTGTCCCAAGGCCAGGCACAGAGTTGCTGCCAGGAGCTGGTGGGCAAAACGTCCCTGGAGGAGTGGAGGGAGGAACCCCCTTGGGCTCTTGGTCCAGTGGCGCCTGTGCCACTCCTGGCTGGGGTCCCAGAGGCTGGACCGGCCAGCTTACTGGGTACCTTGGTGCTGGGCTTTGCCCACGGCCAGGTGCTCAGCAAACACACGGCTGGCTGGACGCACACCCACCTTAACACCCCGCCACGTGCCCTGCCAGCCTCCTCCTCCCCTGCCTCACTTGCAGCGCTTCCCACTGCCTGAAACACAATACCGTTTTTTCGTTTATTAAGTTTTCTCCATCAGAATGAAAGCTCCTTGTGGGCATGGGCCTCCGTATTCCCTGAGACCTAGAATCGTGCCTGTGTACACCAGGCTTTCAATAAATATTTTTGATGCAGACTGCATGGCGTGAATCAGATCTTTGGGACTTCTGTGGCATCCGGTACAGAAGGCAGGGAACTGGGGGACCTGGCTCCCCGCAACCTTCCCGCCTTCATCTTTCGGCATGGAGAAGAAAGGGGCATCGGGTTCAGTCTGCCGGGTGACAGTCAGTGGGCTGCAGAGGGACCTTGAGACAGAAACACATTTGGAGAATCACCCTCCAGATGTCTGCTCCCCGAGGAACCAGAGAATTTGCTCTTCTTGGCTGCAAGGCACTTGATGAAGGAGGGGGAAGGAGGAGGGGGTGCTGAACCTCTTCCCTCCTCTGGTCTCAGCCAGGTCCCAGGCTCCCTCCAGGCCCCAGAGCCCTCAAAGGCTCAGAGCCCTTGTGGGGAGGGGTGGGGTGGGACAGGGAGGGGTGGGGCGGGGAGGGGAGGGGAGACGTGGAGTGGGGTAGAGCTGCAGGTGCCGCGACCCGCAAAGGGTGTGACCAGCGGCCAGAGACGTGCGGTGTCTGCCACAGACGGCCTCTACGTGTCCCGGACTTGGATCTCGGCTGCTGGCCGCCGGGGGGGCTGAGTCTGCAGCAGCGCCAGCGTGTCCCGCTTCTCGATGGAGCGAAGCTGCTTCTTCTTTGCCCGCTTGAGCTTGGCAGGGTTTCGGATCTGGGGGTGGGGGGAGGAGGCATCAGCGCGGCTGTGTCTGCTCTGTGCCCCGGGAAGGGAGGCCTCCCCACAGCAGCCCGGGGCACACGCAGCAGGAGCGGAGGCCGCGAGGAAGGGGTGCCAAGGCCTCTGGAACACAGCGCCCGGCCCGGCACGTGGTTCAGACCCCCGAGCGGGACAACACTCACCACTTGGACAACCTCTGCCCTCCGCTCATTCTCCAGGCGGCGTTTCAGGTTCTCGGCCCGGCGCTGTTTCTTCTCCTGGAACACACAGGCGACAGGGATTTGAGTGGGGGAGCTGGGGCCGCGCTGGTCTCTTAGGCCCCAGAGTGAGAGCTGGCTGACTTCCCAGGGAGGAGAGCAAAGGCCTTCTCACCTTGGCCCGACTGTGGTATAGGGGGGGGGTGGGGCCAGCGAGGAGGGACGCCCGTGGGACGAGAGGCCTACCGTGGCGGGGAAATTCCTGACTGCAGTGGACAGGTGGGCGCCTGGTCACGCAGCTCAGATTGGAGGATGGGGGCGGGCGGAGGGAGAAGACACAGGTGGCTCCCCACCTGGAAACCCGGGCATGTGCCGGATGGCCCCTGGCACCTGCCCCTCATCAACTGCCAGGGGAGGAGAGGTGGCCTGGCTCTCTCCCTCATTCCCACTCCCTCAGGGTCTCCTAAGGTGCATCCAGGCGTGGGGCTGGGAAGGGTGGAGGCTACAGAAAAGAGGCCCCCGAGCTCTCCAGCCCTGGCTCAAATCTGGACTCTGCTACTTCTAGATGGGTACCCTTGGCCAAGCTGTTTAGCCTCTGTGTGCCTCAATGCCCTGTCTTTTAAAGCGAACAGGGTCACACAGGATTGTCCTGAGGAACAAACGAATGACTACATGCACCGGCCTTGGAACAGCACCCGGCCTGCTGGGAACACTCCAATGATGGATCTAGCTGGAGTCTAAGGGGGAGTCCAGTGCCTTCTGGCTATGCAGACTGCTGTCCCCGGTGGGGCCTGAGGGGATGGCGCTCTGAGGTCAATGCATGGTCAGGAGCCTCGCCTGGCCTCTCGGCGGAACAGGGGTGGCCTGGGCCCTCAGGGAGAAAGGAGAAGTGAGACTTGGGGCCCCCTCAGGGGAACGGCTGGGCTGGTGCACTCTTGAGGGGCGGTGACAAGAAGGCCTGTCTTGCCCAAGAGGGAGCCAGGGACGCACAGGAAGTGAGACAAGGACTTGGCACCCGGCAGCCTCACCATCTGCAGGGCCTCGGCCACAGGCTGAGCCGGGGCAGCTCAAAGCGGGTGACAAACAACCGAGTGACCGGCCCAGTCCTTTTCCCTCAGTGACCAGACTGGGGGTGAGGTGCCTGTGGCTCCTCCCGTGACCCTGGGATCACTAGGCAAGTGACATTCCTCTGGCAACGCCAGTCCTGGTGTGATGGCCCCGGACCTGTGTGCTCTGTGTGCCGCCCCGGGGCTTCCTGGAGTCAGGGGCGGGGAGGGGAAGCTCTGATGGGGCATCTCTGGCCGGGGGAGGAGTCAGGGAGACCGCGGAGGAGCGTGTGGGGTATCCACTTTGCAGACGCATGCGTGGTGGCTGCTTCTTGGAGAACGACGGCAATGATTCAGGGATGAGACTTTAGGCTTTTCCATCTGAGCGAAGACCCCTGAGCCCATCTCACCAAATGCTTCTATCGTCAGTGAGGGCCACTGGGGGGCTTCATACTAGCATTCTCCCATCGAGTGTCTCACGGAGGCCTGGGCGAAGTTGGACATCCTGCTGGGCTTCCCTGCCTTGTGGTCCCAGACCCCACTTCTGCTTCCGGCCAGGGGCCCTGCCACCCTCTGGGCACAGGTGGGAGCCCCTCACCCCCCACCCCCAGGCCCATCACAGCAGCCACCAGCTCAGGCCCCTGAGCTCCAGCCTTGGCCCGGCTGGCCGGCCCCTCACCTGCCGGCGCCTCTCCTTCTCCTCCTCCAGGTGCCGGGCAAAGTCCTTGGCCAGCTTCCTCTCCTGCCGTTCCTTCATCTTCCGTTGCCAGGAGGTGCGGAGGGGCTTGTCCTGGACCATCTGGGAGAACCTGTACGGGAGACGACGGGGCGCTCATGTCGGCCACCAATGCCCACTCTCCTCTCGGCTCCTGGCCTTTGTCCCCAGAACCCAAGCAGAATGGCATCCCCTCCCGCCTGCTTGCCAGGCAGTCAGCCCTCCGGGTCTGCAGAAACTTGGGGGCAGGAATGGGCCCCAATCATGCCATTTCTTAAGCCCTAGTTATAGGTCTCTGAGATGCAGGCTCTTGTTCTCTCCATTTCACAGAGGGGCAAACCAAGGCTCAAAGAGGCTGAATCGTTGCCCAAGGTCCCCTTGTATCTGAACAGCAGTCAAGGCTGAAAGCTCTGTCTGTGACCAGAGTCCAGACCACACAGCCTTTCCGTAAAGTTCTACTGCTTCCGCCAAACAAAGCCAGCTTGGGTGCTAATGCTTCTGGAGACAGGGCTCCCTCCCTCCGGGGCCGGCCTGTTCCATTTCAGAACTGCGTGGGTGGTTATGGGCCTCTGTAATGAATGATTCAGAATCTCTCATTCTGGCATCTCAATCAGGTAACAGGGGACATCCTGATTTTCCTAAGGGGACGTCCTGATTTTCCTAAGTGTGACAGTGACATTATAGTCACAGGAGAAATGGGATGCTCTCTGTTAGACTGCAAGGTTGCACACGCGCGACAATCTATCTAGGATGTGCTGGAAAATATTCCAAGAAGAAACAGAAAGGAATGTCAAGGAGCGAGATGAAGCTGGACCACTTAGACTGTGAGTGCTATTGAGCAGGCGAGGAGGACACGGGGGCTCACTTAGCCATGCTCTCCCCTTTTCCATAGGTCTTTCTCCTAGAACTATCTAAAGTCTTCCTGGGTGTCCCGTGGGCTTTTTCTCCTTAGCAGATCCTCTCCTAGTGGCCTTTTTGCCTCCCCTGCCAATTTCTTGACTTCTAAAAGCTCTTCTTCATCCGCTTGCATTACAGGGAACCCCAAGGAGTCACAGGAGGTGAGCAGGCCTGCCCCAGCCTCTGAAGGCTGTGGTGTACACAGGGCAGAGCCCACTCCCCTCTGTGGGGAAGGGTCAAGCATTTCTGCTCTCCTGGGTCATCTTCTCCCCTTCCTGCTCCCCAGGAGTCTGGTACACATAGCCTGGACCTTGACCCCAGGTTTGTCCACCTTCAGCCTAGTTCTGACCCCAGAACCCCCCCTCCCCCATATACACGCACTGCTCCTTCGCCCTCTCCCCAAGGATCTGGTGCCCAATTCCTGGCTTCCTGAGCACAGACTTCCTCCCCACCCCAGTTGCGAGAAACCCAAAGGGACGAGGAAGTGGGGGCTTGGACACACACACAGTCACAGGACGCAATGCTGCATGTTTCTGGAGCAGCCCAGCCAAGCAGAGCATGCATGCTGTAGTGCCGGACATGCCCTGTATCTACATCGTCCTGTAAGGTGGTCGCCAGTCGCTCTGGCAAGGTGAGCACTTGAAATGTGGCCAGTGTGCCGGAGGAATTGCAATTTTTAAGTTTTTAAATTTTAACCAACTTCAATTTAAATCGCCACATGTGCCGGCGGCTTAACTCCTACGGCAGTGCAGTTCCAGAGCACCGGCTTTACCTAGAGGCGGAGACGGCAGGCGGGCAGGCCTGGGTTTCAGGGCCTGAATCCCCCGCCTACTACTTGAGTGACCTTGGGCAAGGGAGCCTGAGAGTTTCAGCGCCTTCCCATGTTATGTGGAGACGGGAATGGTTCCTATTCCAAAGGGCGGTGGGGAGATCAGTTGAGACAAGGGTGGAGTGTTCAACACAATGCTCTGCACATGGTGCGTCCCCAATAAACACCGCTCTTCAGGGAAGGGGGATGGCACACCCAAGGAGCCCTGTGCAAGGGGGCGCTTGGCATCAGCACGGAAGGTGGGGCTACGGCCAGGCCTTCCCAGCTACCTGCCTCCCTCCATAGGCTCCTTTTGCTGGAATGTACCTCCTGCCGCAGGTGCTACCCCTCCACGGTCTCTGGGCTCACTCACTACCTGCCAAAGCTGCTTCCTCAAAGACCCCAAACATCAACTCAATGGCCCCCTGCCCCTCATCCGCAAGACCTGCCTGCAGCTTCTGAACATGTTTTATTTCTACCACCAACGCCTCCTTACTGGTCTCTCTGCTTTCACCCCTGACCTCCTATGGTCTGATACACCCCCCTGCGCCCTATTTCTCCGCACAGCCTTGATTGCCTCCTATGTAAACTGAGCATAATTTTAACACCTGCTGCTTCACAGTCCTGATGTGCAGATTCAATGACATGATGCACACTGGTCTCTCCCTTTGCAAGGCCTTTGTCCTGGCTCCTCCTTACCAAGGTGCTTAGCAGTATTCTAAATCCTCAGGGCTCGGGGATACTTTTTATCACAGAGGCAAGTCACTGGGCCAGGTACAAGCTGGTGAAGACCTCACTGCTTCTTATCGAGTAATGGCTGGTTTACTTGCTTCTGCTTTCCCTCGCTAGGAAGAGGACAAAGATAATGCTTGTTGAAGGAATACACGAATAAGGTGCTACAGGAGAGGTCCACAGGTCCTCCGCGGAGGAAAGCATCACATCAGAGGGCTGGGTCTCACCCTCCCTGGGTTCCCAAGGGCATTTTACTACATTCTGATTGTAATTACCTGTTTGTGTGAGACCCCCTCCCCCCGAATGTAACCTCTCTCCAACCCAGGGCCCCTCTCCATGCTGCACGGGCACCCCAACACCGCGCAGAACCACACCCCCCGCCCGGCTGTCTCCAACTTCACCTTTTCTTGGAGCGGTCCTTCCACACTCGCCCCGATTTGGGCTTTCCCTTAGGGATTACAGGAACCTCCTCCACCTCCTTCAACTTCTTGGAGGCCGGAGCCTGGGCTGGAGAGCTTGTCCGCTTCTTTGCCCCGAAGCTGCTTCTCGCCGGCTCCCCGGTCGGAGGTGGCTTGCTCGGTTCGTGCTGACCGCGGGGCGAGCCGGGTGACTGCGCTGTCAGCTCCTGTAGTGGCCGCGAGGGCTCCGGACCCGGCGCTTGCTGACCCGGGTAAGGCTCTGGTGATGCTGGGCCCGGCTGCAGCTGATGTCGGGGAGAGCCCGGGGCCAGCTCCTTCTTATTCAGGGCCAACTCCGAGTCCAGCTCTTCTTGGGCCTGGGAGAACTCTGCTGACTCTCCAGTTGGCTTTGGCTGAAGGCCGGGGAATACTGGACTCGACTCCGGAAGTGTTTGGGGCGACTCCAGGCCTGGATCTTGCTGGCGCTGGAGGGACCCTGGGCTCTGCTCCGACTCCCTTCGGGGGGACCCCAAACCTGCATCCTGCGGTAGAACAGGGGATCCCGGGCTTGTCTCCGGCTGACGCCGGGGGGACTCCAGGCCGGGTTGCTGCACACTCCGAGGAGACCCGGGCTCCCTCGTTTCTTCTGCGTCCGACCTGAACTCCACAAGGGCCCGTCTCGCCTGTGAAACTGCACTGGGGGTGTCGGGGGGTTCGGGGTTTAGGCCTTCCAGCCGCCGACTGCGCCTGAGCGGCGTATCCATGGCCTGAAAGTTTCCAAACTTCAGCCCACGTGGAGCCGCGACGGTCGCTGGGACTACCGGCGCGGCCCTATGACGTCACGGGCCGCCATATTAGTGGGGCAGGCGGGGCTGTTGCCGGGGAGACCAGGTTGGTGATGGGCGGGGAGGCGAGATCCACGGCCCAAGGGGGCTGGGCTTACAGGGCGCGTGCGCACAGCGCTTTGGCGCATTTACTCGCTGGGGAGTCCTAGATCTTAGGCTGTGTTTGTGTTTCCTGCAAACGTATTCCCCAAGGGTGGGAGAAAAGAGTGCGCATGCAGAGGAGGTCAGGGGGTGGGTGACCCATTTCCCCGAGAGTGCAGGATTGGGAAGCGATCCAGGGCTCCTGTAGGCAAGGCTGGATGGAAACTTTGCGGCTAACTCACTCCAGTGCAATTAATTGGGCAGGGGTCCCACTCTCTGGGCCACATTTGTACTAAGTAATTTTGCACTAGTTGAGCGTATCCCGACGCTCTAGTTGAGAATGATCCCGACGGAGTACTCATGACTACCAGAGTTAATGCTATCTGGCGAATCCCAGAAGTGGGAAATCTCTGAAGTCTTGAGTTGCATGTTAAACGCAACCCTTTCCTTCCCTCTCCCATCCTGCGCTTAAGTATCTATGGCCCTCCCTTTTCAACATGGTCAGCATTCATGCGTGAAGTCGAGGTGCTGGTCAGATGCACCACCTTTGTCCTGGGGCACAACTGCACCTTGAACCCCAGTTCTGGAAATAGCGCTCAGATCATCACTGAGCTGCTTTTTGAGCCAAGACAGAGGTCCTTCCTTGCCCTGGTTTGTGAGCCTGTCTTCTCCCCTCTGCGGCCTGAGACCCAAGAGGAAGTTTTGATTCACTCACAGCCACAAGTCTGAGGAAGAACATCTTGGAAGCTGCCCAACTGTATCCCAGATCTTCAGTATTTCCTTAGAACTGCCTGGGGATGACCTTCAGGGATCCCAGGACCCCGTCCGGCTGTCCCAGTGCTTCTTTTACAGACCATTGTTTCTCCAGCTGAGGGGTTATTAGAGGGCCTGGGAAGCTGTCCAAAGGCGCTCAGGGGACACAGAAAGAAGACCGGGCAGAAGTCCAGGCCCTCAGCGCTGGGTACTGCTTCCACCTGCTGAGTGGCTCTGCTGACACTGGAGCAGGAGTGAGTGTCAGACTTGGCCCGAGGTGTCTTGAGTGCTGATCAGGGAGAAGAAAAACCCAGACAAAGGTTCCTGGAAGATGGAAAAGGGGACTGAGAATCCCTTAATACCCCTCACCCCTTGGCTGATGCCCCACAGCATCCAAAATGCATCTTGGTGAGTTCAACCTGCTGAAACCCCCTCCCTAAGGGTTAGGGCGATGGCACGGCGTCTCCACTGGCCCTTCATGTCATGAGAAATACTTGTACCCTTGTGCAGTATTCGTGTGTCAGTCTCTACCTTCCCAGTGCCTCCATCCGTAGGCTCAGTGCCCTTCTGTCCGAGGCCGTGGAGGGCCCTGCGGTGCGCCTGCCCAGCAGCTCAGCTCCTCACTGCAGAAGCAGCTAGGACCCCTCCTCGCCCAGCTCTCCCAGCCCCTAGCTCTTGGTTCCTTACATTCTCTGCTCCAGCCTGGAGGCCAGATGGCCCGCCGTTCAGAATCAAGCCGGGTGTGCCTGACCCGGGTGGCTGGTGGAGACTGGACCAGGCCTGCTCCAGGCCGGTGTCTGCTCCCTGCTTCCTGAACTCCTGTCCTCAGCTGGATGGGTCACTCACAAATGCCAGTTGGATTGTATCCCCGCGGGCCCTGCTTAAAATACTTCAAAGGATGGCGTCAGATCCCTACCAGGGTGGTGTTTTATAGACATGTTTTGAATCAGTGTGGAGACCCTTAATCAACCTAGGCATCAAGCAAATTCTGGCCAAGAACCCTCCGCTCCCTCCTGATTTTGGTTTGTCAGTGTCATTATAAATGGTGCTCAGAGGCCTGGGGGAGAGGCCTGAAGTTTCCAGAAAAGCCTGATGCAGTGGTCACTGCAGGGACTCCTTTGCTTTCTACTGCAACCATCCCAGCCTCCTTGCCTTTGGGAGTGGGGAAAGGATGCTGAGGGGTTCTCTCCCTGCTGCAGAAGCCCCCAGCAGGACCAAGCCCCAGTGGTCTGCAGAGACACCCTCTTTTGGCTTTTTTCCTGGTCCCTGCCTCAATTTACCACTCCCTTATAGGTGCTTGCTAGAGTCATGTTCTTTTCTTTTTAAGGTTATTTGTTATTTTTATTTTTTTTCTGAGAGAGAGAGAGATGCATGAGCAGGGGAGGGTCAGAGGGAGAGGAAGATACAGAATCCGAAACAGGCTCCAGGCTCTGAGCTGGCTGTCAGCACAGAGCCCGATGCGGGGCTCGAACCCACGAACTGTGAGATTATGACCTGAGCCAAAGTTGGACAGTTAACGGACTGAGCCACCCAGGCACCCCTTAAGGTTATTTATTTATTGGGAGGGGAGGGTCAGAGAGAGAGGGAGAGAGAGAATCCCAAGCAGGCTTTGTGCTATCAGCACACAGCCTGATGTGGGGCTCCATCCCACGAACTGTGAGATCACACCTGAGCTGAAAGCCAAGAGTCAGCCTTTAGCTGACTGAGTCTCCCAGGACCCCCTGCTGGGCTCAGTTTCCGAACAGACTATTTGCATGTAAGTCCTTGTCTCAGAGTCGGCTGTGGAGGAACCCAGCCTTAAACACTGGGGCGAGCAATTATTGAGCCAGGCGTTCTTTCAAGGGCTCGCTCTATACAAACCCACTTAATCCTCACCCCTGTGAAGCAGGTGCTGTTGCTATTACTCCCGTTTCCCATAAATAAAAGAAGCTGAGGCACAGAGAGGGTGGGACACTTATAAAGGTTACACAGCAAATGAGTGGTGGAGGTGGGCTCCATACCAGCTGTCTGACCTCAGAGCCACAACTCTTAAGAGTAAATCTCCATGGCACCTGGGTGGCTCGGTTGGTGAAGCGTCCGACTTCAGCTCAGGTCATGATCTTGCGGTTCGTGGGTTCAAGTCCAGCTTCGGGCTCTGTGCTGACGGCTCGGAGCCTGGAGCCTGCTAAGGATTCTGTGTCTCCCTCTCTCTCTGCCCCTCCCCTGCTCATACGCTGTCTCTCTGGTGAAATGAATAAACCATTAAAAAATATTTTTAAAAAGGAATAAATAAATCTCCCTGTTATCTGGCTGAGGAAATGGGGGCACAGAAAGGCCAAGGTGGCTGCCTGAAGTCACACAGCTGCACACTGAGGTGCTAGGATTACGGTTCCAGAGCTGGGATGCTTAGCTGCCTTGCGACTGCCCTTCACGCAGGCCTTGCTCCCCTGTTCCTCACACTGATCCTGGCCTATGCGCCGTGGTGCTGGGTGCCTCGTTGCCCGTTGGGCGGGCTGTGGCTTTGCGTGCGGTGCGCGGCGGGCAGAGCAGGCTGAATTGGCACTATTTGCCTTACTTATGTAACTCGAGATCTGCTGACTGGAGAAAACCGCGTGCCCACTGAGATATGGATCAGGTGTTCTTCTCTGAGCCGCTGGCCCCCCACCCAGCCACAGGTGCTGCTGTGAGGGCCATAGCCATCCCTGGATGTCAGGGGCCCGTATCTGTATGGTCCTCTGCTCAACATCGAGGTCAGAGGTGGCCAGGGAACGGGGCCTGTGGTCACCAGCGGCACTCACCGGGTAGTCCCTAAGCGCCAGGCTTCTCCTAGGTGCTTGCTCGGTCCGTGGAGTGTTGATGCAGGGGGGTGGCTGCTAGCACCAGAACGAGGGAACGGAGAAGCTCACTGCCGCCCTGCAGGGGGTGGGCTGGGGACCGGACCCTGAGCCCGGTGGGAGGTGAACACCCCTGGCTTCCTGACAGGGAAATCCAAGGCCAAGAGAGGTTGTGATTTGGCTCAGGGTGACACACGGGGAGAGTGACCGGGGGCAAGGACAGGGCTGGAGTTTGGGGCTTCCTGACGCCACACCCACACTCTTACTCTCGCATGATGAGTGGAGGCAGGGGGAGCCGGGGACGGGGAAGGACTTTCTTAGTCGGGGGAGGTGGGTGGGCTGCTGGCAGTGGGGCATGGCCCACGATGGCTGGAGTGACAGTGAGGTGGAGGTGTCGCAGGGAGGGCAGCCCCTCTCCGGGCCAGTCCAGGTGGCCCCTGTCTTCCACTCAGAGTCTGTCACATATTTGAAGGCAGGTTTCCTGTGGCTTCCCCAGGATTGTCTTCTATCCAGGCTGCGTGTCTCCTGCCTCTCCAGCTGTCCCTCTCGGGCCACACAGCGCACCTCCAGGAAGGACAGCAGTGCTCTACAGCCTTCCAGAATGTGCTGTCCAGAGCTCCTGCAGGCCCCCAGGGTTGAGTGCATTTGTCATCTCCCTGCTCCACAACTCCCATCAGGGTGGCCAGGTCCCCGTCCTCTCCCTGATGGCCGGCCACCTACTGAGACCCTCAGTCTGGTTCCAGCTGCCGTCCCTGGGATCCTGGACACCGTGAGCCATTGCACCCCCCTCCCCCCCCGCCCCTGCCCGGACAGGTGCAGGCTTCATCACTCGGCCTTGCTGCATTTGACCTTGACCTGCTGGAGAGCCAGCTCTCCTCCTTCAATGTCTGCTCCCCTCCCCCTTTGTGTGTGCGTGCTGCTGCTTCTAGAAACCTTGAATCAGCCCCCACTGAGAATGTGCAACGAGACAAGGGTTATGGTGTCAGTTCTTATCATGGGTGCTTATCTCGGAGGCTCATCTTTTTCTGTGTGTTCCCAGAAGCTCGCGTTGATGTTCAGGTCCTCAGGAGGAGCGGGGCAGAGACCTCAGCGGAGGGGCCGGGGGGCAGGGCGTTGGAGGTGTGCAGGGCACCGGAGGGGACCCCTGATGTGAGGCCTCCCAGCTGTCCCCTGGAGCATTGCCAAAGGACTGAGAAGTGACTGGATCGGGAAGGGGCCACTTTGCAAAGGGCTTGGGTACCTGCAGAGCTTATCTCATCTTCCCCCAAACCCCCCCCCCCCCCAGCTGCTGATTCTGCTAAACAGGAAGGGGCAG